ATCTGTCGGCAACGAGCGCACGTCCATTCTAGGTTATTTCATCTCCGGGGAGGTGTCTGGAGGTGTCAAGCAAACGAGGCGCGCGTTGTGAAGAGTTTGCCATGCGACGTACCCAGAGTCTCCGAGGCGCATAGTCCACCTGGCTTCGGCGCGCGTTGCGCTTCCTGGAGGCGACAGCGTTTCCCTGTCAAGCCCAGCAGCGCGCGCTTCTGACAATCCCCGCGCTGGAGGTTGGGTGTCCTCTCCATAGGCAGGGACCGCGTTCCCGTTCCAGATCAATGCCGTATGGAGGGCCCTGCAGTGGGCGTCGTTTGCGTTCTCGACCGCCGTATGCCGTTTCGTAGAGAGAATTGTGCCCCGGAACCGGGCTCCTACTCGTGCCGGGTACCCTTCCTGCTCCCGTTATGGCAGCCCTTGTTGCGCCTTGGATTAATTTTAACGTTAACGGTGAGTCAATGCCCTGAGGTTGGACAGCGCACCAGGTGTTGCATGACATACGCGGTGACGGCCCTCGCGTCCGCGTAATCGCCGTTGCCTCCACCTACGTACTACAGCAATGCGAGTCCCGCCCGCGAAGCATGCAAGCGTTGTGCCCCGAGCGATGGAGCTGCAGCCGAATAGCGAGCAGCGTGCTCGTCCTTCGCGGGCGCCCGCGGCGGCATGTGTGTTGCCCTTGTGAGTCCCCGATGCGATGCCGACATCCACGAGCGGGGCGCGAGGTCTTGGAGGTTGGCGCACCGGATCCTCGGGAGGCGCGCCAGTATTCGCGAACGTCAAGTTTGTCTATTGCATACCTATGTCGACAGTCTGCACAGGATACCTGGCAGAGTGCGAAATTCAGATACTATATCAACTCGCTGCAGGAGCCAGGAGAACTTGCCTCGTGTTTCGTCGGCCTTCCCTTATGTAAAATTGGTCGCGCTCTTTCCTTCACCATCGGCATCGGGCGGAAGCCATCCCGAACCCCCCTCCCCGATGGTCCTGCCTTCTCGAGAAGCTCAGCTAAACGGCGCAGAGGGGTTGCTTCAAGAACGGCGGCAGTACCTGCACTTCATCCCCGTTAGGGCGCCTTCGAACAACACACACTGCCGCCGTACGTACCTCGAAGCACCATCAACCGCGCGCGAGTTTGTGTGGGGGCGTAATCACCGCAAGCTTCTTACAGCCGCAGACGCGCGGACGTTACCGTGAACCTACGGCGGAGATGTGGCGTACAGCCGCAATCGGCCACCCGTCGGCCGCCCATGCTGTCCGCTCACTGACTGCGCCCCGGCGGTCAAAATCCAAAGCTCGACAGCGCACGGAGATGATCTGCGGCGCCACTGACAGCCCACACTAACTTAGAGCTCGCCGCCGTGGGATGAGCTGTCAGCAGCGTCGGCGACCTGCAGGATGACGAGATGCTGGAGGCGGCGGGGAGCCAATAGTGGGGCGTCCAAAATGCCAGTGGTGCGCAGCGTCATCAAGGCCTCGTGCAGTACGACCCCGCTTTGGATCGAGTGGGGCGGCGTGCCGGGTGGCACGCTAGAACGTATCGGGGTGGCGAACTCCACTCCGACCTGGCTTCAAACTGGAAAGCCATCGTCCTGATGGGAAGAGGAGATACCTACAGTTCGACGAAAGGGTCAACATCAATTGATACGGCCATACTGTGGCATTCGCGTGGAAGACACGTGCCAAGAACCACTCCGACGACACAACGCCGCCCGTTCCCTTCGCAGACCAGCCAATAGCCACGACGGCGCACTGCGTCGGTGCGCGCCAATGCCAGAGCGAGGATGGCATAGATCCGTTTGAGGAAGTAGAACGCCGTCTCCGGGCGGGCGTCCCAGCAATCCTTGACACGGCGGGAGCCCACGGGACGGGCGCGCAATGCGCGGCCGCATCGTATTGGTTTCGTTCGTCTTCGTCCAAGTCGACTTCCCTGTTGGGCTGTCAGGCGGGCCGTCCGCTACATCGCGCGGGATGGGCCCATCATCCTACGAGTATAAAAGAAAGGGGCAGCACAGCGAGAAGCCCCAGGCCAACGGTCAGTCACTCCTTCGCCTTCCAACACTCTCTCAGCACTCTTCTCTCCTCACTCAGATCCATCACCATGATGTACTCTTGCCTCACCGCCTTCGTTCTCGGCGCCCTGCCCATTCTTGCGGCCGCCACCCCCCTTGAGACTCGTGGCGGCAAGTGCTCGACCGGTCCTATCCAGTGCTGCAACCAGGTCCAGAAAGTGCGCCACTCCAGAGCTCTTCGTCGCTACGCCGCTGACGTGTTGGGTGTTCTTCTGGTGGCAGGCGACTGACCCGACTGCCTCGGCCCTGCTCTCCCTGCTTGGTGTCGTCGTCCAGGGTGTCGATGTCCTCGTCGGGCTCGACTGCTCGCCTATCAGTGTCGTTGGCATCGCCAGCGGTAACTCTTGCAACGCCCATGCCGTGTGCTGCGAGAATAACGATCTCGTGAGTGTCGCAGACCGGTGGGTCCACTGAGCGAATACTGATCATACCGCACAGGGTGGACTCGTCTCCGTCGGCTGCGCCCCCATCTCACTCTAAGCGAGTTCTCGCCACCGGCGAAGGGAGCCCCAAGCAGATAGGTACTTTGGATACCCCTGGTCGTTATGCGCGCTTCGCAGTGGATATATTAGCTCGGTACCGTTTGTGTTGTTGTCTACGGCGGCTTGTTTAATCGTTCTTGGGGCCCCTCACACTACTATATTCTCGTGAAATGCGATTGCCGTCTATACTTTGACCACTTATGTCCGCTGGCGAGAACAAATGAGCGTCATCGACCGGTAGGATTAAAGTGCGCACCACACCTGCACCAATGCCCACGTTACCTTGCCATAAGCAGCAGAGGGAAAACCTCCGACGAGCCGCGAGGCATGAAAGGTCCCGAGTGGAGAGTATAGCCACGAGGCGGCCCGGGATGTGGTCGAGGATATCTGGCAGACGCGTCGTGGAGTAATTCGAAGGTAGTACGGCAGCCAGGAACTCTGTATAGGGCGGAGAAGGAAGGGCGTGTTGGAAGAATACGTGACGGAAGAATGGCAAGACTTCTCTGCGGAGTACCGCGTCGTGGCCAAGGTAGGTCAGAGTTTGAGATCGACGCCATCGTGCCACGCGCTACCTGCTCTCGGACTCTTTTGCGAGCTTCCGCCCTGTAAGATTCTACACCATCAAAGAGGGACGCCATTCGCGGATGGAGCAGCTAGGAGATCTTCGTTGACCATGTGTTCGTTGTTGGAGGTCGGTAGAATGAGCAGCGCAACTGAAGCAACCGCACTCCACCGACGCAGTTGAGTACGCTGCGTCTCGCAACAAGAACTCGTTCATTTCCGTCTGCAAGTGTCTACTTACCTTCAGCTTCCTCAGAGTTTACTGACGGGCCCATGCAGTAGTTTCCTCCAATTCAAGCCTGAGTGGAACGATTCCGAACGAACGACGTACATTGGTGGAGCGTGCGGCGGCAGTGCGACTTACCAAATGAGCTTCGTAGGCAGAACTTGCGGCGAAGAAATGTCACGGAAAGAATACAGATTGCACTTGTCCTCGAGATGTCCAGCTGCAAGTCCAGAAAAAGCAGGCTCGGGGAGGAGAGCGACATCGTGGTCGACGCCAAGAGACGTCACCGTCAGTCGCGACGGAAGCGTTCACGACGACGGAGCGCCCATTCGGCGTCCGGAGGCCGCCTCCCGAGTCCCGAGCCTCTCCTCGTCATCCCGCACCGCCGTTGCTGCTCTTTCCTTCTCGCTGCCATTAGCATCTGCCTATCTAGCTCAATTTCGACTCTGGAGCATGCACACATTTCCGTCATTGCGTCTTCCTAGCGTCATCCCTTGGACCATGACGAGCACGAAGAGATGCTGCCGCGCGCGGGCTGCGCTCCAAACTTGAATGCGACCTACGGTACCGTGGTATTTGCGTTATCTTGCGCTCGTCGCCGGACGTCATGAGTGCATAATACCTGCGAAGTTGTGATCAAGTACTGAGTACTGAGATCTGAGAGGTGCGCCAGGACGATCTTGCTATGACTTCATGCCGTGCCATAACCCCGAGATGCGTGATCGTTGACAGACGGCACCCACAACATAACCACAGGCACCTGCATCCACGCCTGTGCACGTCCCACCATACCGGAGGTCGCTAGTGGTGGGTTCGTGGCATAATATTCGCTCCCAAATTCGAATATCGCCTCTTGCTGGCAAGACCGTTTGATCACCATTGAAGGCCCGCGTGTGTACAACGTTAATGCGCCCATAGCTGGATTAGGTGCTGCCCCACTAAGACAATGGTGCTCCCGTATAGAACGGTGTAATCTCACGTCGCCCTATCAAGCTGCGCGCTAACAATCAGTTCAGACGCCAGATGGCCTGCCTAGGGAGGGCTGCACGACACCTATCCCGCCATCCCATACACTGACAGTCTCGCCGGAAAATTGCCAGCTACTTCCACCCTCATTCCATCAACTTCGACAGCTTCGACAGCTGGTGTATCAAGAGCTCGCTGACCGCGGGCAGAAGCTTTACCGAAATCTTCGACAGCACTCGACTTCCGACCGCGCTCTGCGCCTCGAAGCAAGAAGCTTCCTGTCTGCATCTTTCTCGCAGCCACGGAGACGTCCGCGTGAAGAACGGTCTCGCGTCCCATCTTCGCCGGGTCCCTGACATCCGCTGAGACGATACTCGACGAAGACTGCCGGGGGTCTCGGATTCCTCAACTCCGCTCCGAGGAGTTCGCAGAAGCGGGTGGGTTGTACGCGCGTCGTGTCCAAGAAGATCAAGGAGCAGTACCTCAAGGTTTGAGTTTGTAACTGCATGCGCGTGTACATGTCTGCTCTTGCAATTCATTCTGTGATCCCCTCGTTTGGTGAACCACCCGTCGATGTCTTATGCGGAATATTCTTTGGGCCTTCACCGTGCCACTCCACTCATTTACGATGCATTGTATCCGATAATCATCACGAAGACCACACTCTTCTACAGCGTTCCGCGAGCGACTTGCAAAAAGGGGCCTGGCCGGGAATTGAACCCGGGACCTCCTCCAAATACACTCGAAAATCGCTCTTCGAACCCTAAGAAGGAATCATACTACTAGACCACCAGGCCTGATAACGTCATTGTACGGTTGCATTTGTTGCAGCATGGCGAGGGCTCCCAGCTTATAGTCACAAGCGCTATCCTCGAGCGGGGACCCCCACAAGGCTGATACTGCACTAGCACAACTACCATCCTGATACGAAGCCATCTATACGTGAATTAAGGTCGTGACACAAACTTGATGCACCTTATGGCGCGGGCTCACCGTTACACTACGCGTCTTACAACCTTGCCCACGGGGTCTTACCGTTGGGTAGAGATAACTGAGAACAAAAAATGCGCCCTGTCGTTGCGCGGTCGTCGTCGAGGAGGCGAACAGTGGGACGCAATCTAGATCTTATATGGATACGCTTATGTAAGATTCCCAGCCTGCGACTACGGGCGTCTTACGAGGAATGTTACCCTTACTCCTCCTATCGTTCTTCCGGCTTGCAACTCTCACTACGGATCCTGATACGCTAAAAAAAGTATGTCTCACACCTTACGGATAAGATACGTTCTACGAGACAGTCTTACAGCTACGGGGGAGCTTGCATCCCGTAGGCCGGGCATTAAGCCAGGTCCGAGTGCGTGCACACGGTACGGACAGGTGCGGACTCGGACACGTCTCGCGCGTGCGCGGGCTCAAGCAGCCCGCATAGTACCGGAGGATTCGCATATTACGAAGGACTCACGTTTTACGGGGGGACTTACACAAAGTTTTGCTTCAATATGGTTCGAGGTTCTCTCACTGACAGGTTGGTTGTTGCACGTCGAGTAAAAAGTACGCCCTTCAGACTCACAAGGGGAGCCCGTGCGTAGCACGGGCACAGACGTCTAGTTCGTATAACACCATATTTTGACTGACTATACCAGGACGTTGACCGAGGCTGACACACGCACACGTAACGAAATGCAGGATATCCAAGCAATGTATTATGCGATATTACGGTACTCAAGATCCACTAATGCGTCCCGCCTGCTGCCCTGAAGCAGCTGCAGCGTGCTCAGAGGATGATGGGAATGCAGCCGACAGAGATGAGACCACCCTGAGTACAAACCAGTGAGCACCACTTTTGACAGTTGAGGTACAACTACACTCACGACGTTGTTGTTCGTGCAGCAGACGGGGCTCGCCTGGCAAGAGCTCTGGCCAGCGCCGACACCGGAGATGCCGGAGCACTGGAGACCAACGGAGCCAGTGAGGCTGCCGGCGTCGAGGCCGAGGAGGCTCAGGAGGACGCTGACGGCGTTCTCGTTCGTCTGCAACGGCGAAACGCTGTCAATATTGACCTTCGCGGAACAGCATATGCAAGCATGCACGTACCTCGTGGACGGAGTTGCAGCACTGGATGGAACCGGTGTTGCAGTCACCGCGGCGGAGCACGGCGGGCGTGGCAGCCGCAAAGACGGGGAGAGCGAGGAGAGAGAAGGCAACGACGCGGGCGAACATAGTGAATGTGAGGGTTGGGAGTCGAAAGAGTGACTAGGTGAGTGTGTTGGAGAGACGAGAGGAGAAACTGCTGATCGAGGACGATTGCAATGGGGATTCCCCACCGTGGACGCTGCATTATTTATACGTGCAGCGTCGGCCCGTGCGCGCAGGCGCGGCCGGGTGTACTCCGCACGCTCGCGTCCTTCGCGCTGCCAGCCGGTCTCGTCACTCTGGGTTCGTGGCTCTCGGCCAGGAGATCTGTGTCTGAGAACGCTACCCGACGCGTAGCGGCTTCGCGTAGTGTTAGGCGCCTGCGGGGGCCCAGCGGACCACTGCGGCGCGCCTTCTTTCATTTGATCGGGCTCACCCTCATGCAGCTGAACCCCACCCGCTCAAGCATTCAAGCATTTTGCGCTGTCAGACCAATTGATCGCCGTGAATCCCTGCGGTTCTCGGGTGAAGACGTGCTGTCCTCCAAGCAGTCCCCGGAATCCGGAAAGCCTCACCTTGTTCCCCAAACAAGAATGGTTACGGGCGCGCCGCGCGCCGTGCACGCGACCGGAATTAATGTCAAGACCAGATGACTGTACGGAAGCTCTGTGAGTCAGCATTTGGTCCTTCTATGCAGGGCCGTAGTGGGATTGACGCTCTCGTAGAACGCCTTGAGGTTTCCTCCCGGTCGGAGAACATGCTCGGTGTGGTTCGCCATCATCGCTGTCTGTCAGTGGATTGGAAACCCGTCTTCCGAACCGCAACGGATGCTTTTCATCGCTCCAGAACGCCGCCAATAGAGTATGGTTGTAATTTCGAAGGTAATGGTTTACGTGCATGTCTCTGTGTACTCTGTGCGGACGTCTGAAGCACCATCCATCGTTGGTACTGCTAGGACAAGATGAACGCTCGTGTAAACACGCTGCAAGATGATTGAATCTACGATGCGGTATTCTCTAACCTACCGTTCGACGGACACAGGTGGATCACTGTTCAGCACCGCTCTGAAAACTCTCCGCATACGCCGGACGTCTTCTATGTCCGTTGCTTGATGCCGGCGGAGGGTATGGCTTCTGGAAACTGGTACGTGTTACTCGCGGCATAGCAGAACTGATCTTCTTGTTGCTACGGCCAATTCTAATGTAGGATCCCGCGCAAATTCGCCGCCATCTAGACCGCGTCTACGCTCTCTGATAGAGTCGCCGTTAGAAGCTCATCTCAGCAAGTTTTCTTGGGCACGCCCCTGAGTTCTGGGTTAACCTCGACGCTCCATTCTCAGGCGCATAGGACACATGTACATCCATCAACGGTAACCCTCTCCGACCCTATGAACCCGCATTGGACCCTACTAACAGCCCACGCTCCCACAGGATTAGAGTATGATCGGGAGACAACCGATGGAGATCAGCCCGCCCTAATACCATGGTCAGCGTTCGGCGTCGAGACTCCGTCAAGGAGCGCGGGGACTTACAACGTTGTTGTTAGTGCAGCAAACGGCGTTAGCGGAGCAGGCATTGCCGGAGCCGACGCCGATGACACTGAGGGGCGAGCAGTTGAGCCCGATGAGGCCAGTAACGTCTCCGATGACGATGCCGAGCAGGCCGAGGAGGAAGTTGGCCGACGTGGAGCTCGCCTGTGGGGCAGTAATGAGTATCCTGCATGAGCACGAGTGCGAGTGCGCTTACGCTCTCGACGCTGTTGCAGCACTGGATGGCGCCCGTGCTGCACGTCTGGCGAGCCTCGAGCTCAACGGGCGTGGCGACCGCAAGAAGGGGGAGGGCCAGGGTGGCGAAGACGGCAGCGCGAGAGAACATGGTGAGTCGGTTGGTAGACTGGGATTGTTCGAGTGTCGAGTGACTGGTAGACCGGGCTAATGATCTGAGGGCTGTAGGGCTCGACGTCCTCGCCTTTATACGTTTGGCGCGGCCCCTCCTCGCCCACTCCCCTTCGGCATTACAGGGCGGCCGCAGTGTGGGCGTACCTTGTCTGAAAGTATTGATCCACGGCCATGCGGCAGTGTCAGTAGGAATGCCATTTGCGCCGTTCTATTCTCTGCTACTGCGCGCGGCCGTTCCGTGACGGCCCACTGGCCAGTGGAGATGAAGAAGCAGATCCGGTACGCCGTCCATGGTCCCACCCACACTGGTGCACTAACGCTCCAGGCTGCCAGTGTTCTAGGGTCTCGTGCCAGATGCCCAGCCTCTGTGCTTTCTACATTTTCCCATCGCGGCACACCTTTGACAGTTCGCCTTCGCCAACACGATTCGGATTCGGGCGGTCTTTTCAGCTTTCTTCTCCAGCTGTGATTGGACAGATGATGGATGTACATCTTCGTACGTCGACTTGTCAATGATTGCGCTGACGCGTTGTGCAGGTGCCGCCCGCTCAAACTCATACTTTGAGAATATAGGAATTCCCGGTGTATTTCTGGCTGAATGCAACGGGCCATGAGAACCATACAGCGTTCATCGGCCCTCGTGTCTTTACGGCCGAGCGTCCAGCCTCAGAACGAGCGGGCGTACAGCGCCGCACCGGGATCCTTGGCAAGGGAATGCGTCGCTACGTGCGTTATTCCTGCGTTCATCTCGCATGGAAAAGAGCGCAGTGGTCGCGCTCGTCCCCGCCACCTGACGTCCAGAGCCTCCGGTCCTGCCCATGTTCTGGACGTTTTTGCCGCAGCCCTCCTCGACGGCATCGCCTGTGCCGAGCGAGAGCATTCATCTGCGCACGGTGCCAGTACCCGGCGGGGGGACTCAGTGCGTCCGGTGGAGGTGACATACAGCGCACAGCGCGCTGATGGAATACACTTTCTGGGGCCCAAATGAAAGCTGGCCGCCATGCCTCCTCGGCGTTGTCGTCGTGGGGAGATGTCCGGGCAGCTTTTTGCCATTGGTCGGGAGGATCTCGGTAATGAAACGAACGGGTTGCAGCGCGGCCTGAACGGCGCCGCGGCGTGTTCTGTCGCTCGAGGCCGCGACCTGATCAGAACGCCTGACAGTGTACCCCGCGACACCAGCGAGAACACGCATCTCATCCGCGCGCCACCGGTCGATGCACAAAGAGGCCGTCCCAAGTGAGTGTCGCGCGCGCCCCGTGTTTCTGCAGATTATTGGATAACGTGCGCGCCCAATAAAGTGCAGGCATCTCCGCGCCGCCGTGGACAAAGTATTGAGGACGCCGCGCATCCAGCCGCCAGGCACGCCAATGGAAATCCCACTGCGAGGACGTATCCGCTGTGCGGGTGTGTGAGCGAGATCTCCACAGCCCCCGGTAAGCTCTTTACCTCCGCACCATCGTGAAGGGTCGGGAAGGCGGGTCCAATGCGGCCAGATCTTTGGTAACGGCGCCTTGCCCCTCCTCCCGTCCCGTCCTTCGCTGAGCCTGCACAGCTCCGCTTGTCCCGCTGCTTGGCTCGCGGAGAACCCGCCCTCCTCCACTTAGATGTGTTGCCGGCTTCGTACCATGGCTGTTCTGTGCACTTTCTTCAACATCCAAGCCTCCACCGCCGCGGCATCCTTTATGTCTTGGATTCACTAGAATCCCGGACTGAGGCGGCCGCTCGATCGGATTGATCGAGGAGTGTATCGATCTCTACTCGGCGATT